TGGCAGCAGCCAATCCCCATCTCCTAATTACATGGGTTTTCACGACTGCTACCATTATAGGAGAGCTTAGATTGTGTGGAAGCAGTCATTGCCCTTATGCCACTCATGAGCTGTGTGCTTTAAAGTAGAAAACAAATGTAAGGAAATTGTTCTCTGGGGCTTTCTGATTGGCTCTCTGTCTCTTCTTTTCTGCAATAGGACAAAGCTCTTTCCTAACTTCTTTTCTCTTCAGCTCTGAAGAAGTAGAGGGATAAGAGCAGTGATTTCTCACACGGCAGGGAGGAATGTGTTCAGGGGACATATGTGTATTCTCCCAGGGAGGGTGGAAGGTCTTGTTTCCTCAGGGAGTGGAGGAGAAGGATGTCAGCTCCTTTGTGGGAAAAGGAGTCTAGGGAAGAAGAGAGGGATTCCTCTGTATAGACCCAGACTGGAACAGTACTGAACCCTCCTGCCTTTCTCCTACTGGTTCCTTCTTGGGAGTACCTGGCTTTCCTTCCCAAGTGCCTTCCAAACTCTTAATTTGCTTTGCCTGTTGATCTGTGGCAGATCAGTGTCACCTCGCTAATGGATTGCAGAGGCTGAGAACGAAGATAATACTCAGGAATACTTTGGTCAGAAACCAGGAGACAGACCATCATCAGTCAGAGCACAGATCTCAGCTGTGAAAGGGAATCCTAACCAAGTCCCAGCATCATCGTCTTGTGTGCCAATATAACCACAGCAGCTTGAAGCATAGGTTCATAACACTGGACTTGCATAGTTGCTGTATAAAGACCTTCTAATTAAATGCCAAGAGATGGCTAGTGTAGTAAACAATTTAATGAGTAGGTGGCACTCTTTACTCTGAAGCACTCTTGAACCAGGACCCAGAAATTGCGGAAGTGTTACATAGTAAAATAAGTGGGACATGGTCATTAGCAGTGTGCTGTGCAACATTGCATTTCTGTTGGGAAATACTTTTTACTTGGATGCAGGCCTCTCCTTAAGCTCAGTAAAGCTGGCACCTTTGTAGGTGATATCATCTCACACACTTGGAAGAAAACTGCCTAGGCTGGGTCAAACTCTGCATACCTACTTTGCTCACTGTAAGCAGAGGAACAGGAACAATCAATTCTTCTGTCTTCACAGACCAGATGAATAATTAAGATGATATCTCTTAATACACTGTTTTCTTATAAAATGCATAAACTGAATGTTCTTCCATTTTAATCTGGCCTTCCTAATTTTCTGCAACAAAGCATATGCATTTGAAATAAGCATGAAAAAAATGAATGTGTTCCCTATTGCTTGGTTTTCTTTCACAGTTACCTGCTTTCTCTTCCCCTCCGTTCATATTTTACTATGGCATTCATGAAGTCCTCTCCATGGAGACAGAGGGCTTGATTCTGGTAAAGACAAAACCACCTGAGGCACCGCTTTTGGTTTCCTCAACAGAGCATTATGTCTACCCCTGACTCTGCCTCCCCCTCACACCCAGTCAGCAGCACACAAATGTTACATAAAGCCTCTCCTCTGCATGTACTTGTTCTTGTGCCAGAAAGATGAGAGGAACTCAGGGACTGAGAGCTGAATACGTATTTATGCAGAGGCAAGAGATGTCTAGTGAATGCACGACTAGACCTCTGCGGATGCAAGTGAGGAATGTTTTAGTAAATATCTCTTTATTATCTTAAGTAAAAATATTACATAAATCCCTGACTATATGACCTTGCTCCAAGGAAGCAAATCCTGCATTTGTATTAGTTGCACTGGCAACAACTGAAAACTGAAGACCCATTCACAACATTTAGAAATGGTAGTTGTAAGTTTAGTGGGTTTTGATGGTTTAAGAAGTATCAAAGTAATCAAACATCATTAGGGAAACACTATGCCAAAAAAGAAATGCAGAAGCAGATCCACTTCAGAATATGAAGGGTTCCTTTGAAAAAGAAAATACTAATGCTAATGTCAGATTAGAATACAAGGTTCCTAATCTGAAAAAAACCCTCTGATAAGAGGCAGGCCTGAAAGCAAAACCAAGAAAGTAGTAACAGTGTGCTGAACTCTAATGTATCACTGCCCTGTTCAGCTCTTCCAAAACTTCACCTAACATAATCTCAACAAATAATTTGTTTGAGTCATTTCCCAGAAAAACTGACCCTCCGGAACATTATTCCAATATGCAAAATTCAGTTTGAATAATTTTTACTGGGAAAATAGTATTATGTGTGTCAATCAGTGTAGCACTCTGCTTCATGAGAATGTAGAGAAAACTGTAAACAGAAGAAGCCAGGGGAAAAAAAACCAAAACATGAAAAAAACTATTCAAGCTATGGATGCACAGTGTGTGGGCTTTGTTGTCAGCCAAAAATGTGGAGAGCAGCTTTTCATGTCAGTTGTGGAAGAGTCACATCAGACACTAGTCCTATTAGGCAAAACTTTCTCAGCAAAGACAGGCAGGGTTCACTGCTTAACCACAGCTACATCAGCTCTATAGCCTACTCAAAATCAAATACTATTCTTTCAGAATAAACATGGACTTGAACAAAAACACCAAATAATTGTAATCTGAGAAGGTCAGAACAAAACTTCTCACTGCTCCTGATCACATCCAAAATCTATCACCTCGATCTGCTCTGTGAAACACAGACATATTTTAATAATAATCTCTATCAAAATCCTCTCTTAAAGTAATTAACCACATATTACTTAGGAGCTGTGTGCAAGAAAGACACTTGGAATTATTCCTGCTTTCCCTGGCTCTTCAGTTGTTTTATGATACTGTTTGGCTGTGGAGGAAATTGTATCATATATTCAGATGCACAGTTGTTTTAAAGCAATTTTCTGAGCTGAATTTCTGCATGCAAGAAGTCTCTTTCCTTCATCAGTATAAATGTTAAATATGTACTGAATATATAAATATATGCAGAGGGCTTTGGGTACAGTATTAAGATTTTATTGTTATAAAAGATAACAATAGATCAGGAGATTGCTTCAAATGGACTTGAACACTTCACCATCCAGGGCCAACAGGTGCAAGAGTGTGAATGTGCACTGCCCTGGCTGCTGGACACACAGACCCTCAGCTGACACCCTCTGCATGTGGGATTGGTTCCTTTCTCTTCAGCTGTGTTCACTGTATTTGCCTTTATTTATTTGTGTTTTGGTGGGTGAGCATCTCACTGGGCAGCCACACAACACCCAAAGCCTATGCAAAAGAAATCCCAGGAGCTACAGGTGTCCCTGTGTCATGGAGCTGTGTTCCTTAGGGAATCCCAGGAGCTATGGGTGTCCCTGAGGCATGGGGCTGCTCCTTAGGGACAGAGCTTTATTTATTTGTGTTTTGGTGGGTGAGCATCTCACTGGGCAGCCACACAACACCCAAAGCCTATGCAAAAGAAATCCCAGGAGCTATGGGTGTCCCTGGGGCTGTTCCTTAGGGACAGAGAACTTTCAGGCCACCGGAACCCAGACGTGACATCTTCAGCAGGCAGTAGGAGTCAGTGCTGAGGATCTATGGTGTACCAAGGTGATCATGTAGATCAAGTACAAGTTTGTACTCTGCATACACACTAATAGAAATAAATCCATGTGCCTGGGCAGGGAATGCAGATTTTTGGGTACTTAGAACACTACTTTCATAACTTAAAAGATGCTACTAGAGAAAATTTTAAGTTGATGTGGGCAGAAAGTCAGAGCCTGATCTTTGCCTTGACCGTTCCTCCCATCAGTAAGCATGGGAGAGGGAAACAAATACAAGTGGAATTTGTCCAAAAGTTGTTAAACTGAACATCCCCTTCAACTGCTGCTCCAGACTGAGCAGGACACTGAAATAGTGTCCCTGAGATGATGTGACTGCAAATGGCACTTTGGAGGTCAGACTGCAGACAGTGGCAAATGTTTACCGGACATAGTCAAGTATCAATCAGCCTCCTGTACTTCCTTACATATCTCTGTTCATGACCCTCTTTAGGAAAGCAGCTATTTTATCTAGTGAGCTACACAGTCTCTCATAACCATCTGTGGAGAATCTGCAGGTGTTAAATTAGCTGCAGGAGGATGCCCATATGTTTCCTGCATACACTAGACCCACATTGAGAAATATAACCAAAAATGAAGCCATTGCAGATTGCACACAGTTAAGGCTAAAGGGCTCAAGCCGATTTCGTTAAGTAAAATTATATATGGATGAGATGTAATTTACTGTGAAAAACACAGTGAAGAAGAAATACAGCTTTCATTTTCTAATGTAGTTTCTTGGGCTGACATGGGAACATGGTTCCCTGAGACACTAAGCAGTCTCGAACTGCTGGCGACGGGACTTTGGGCTACTCAGTATTTGCCAGGATCAAAGCTTTTGCAGTCATTTCATAAACTTTTGGTTTTTTGTAATTGGTAGATTTACTTATGATTTATGTCCTTGTATTGTATAGTCAAGAGTCAGCAACTGCCCTGCAGTTACCCACAGGAGTTATTTATTATTACTATATACAAAGACCCAAAAAGTAACAAGTACCTTCCCTGTCTTGGGCTGAAGGCAATTGGAGAACTTTTCTATTTGGTGTAAACCAGTTGAAAAATGGGTAAAAAATGAACAAGGATTGATTTTCTAGGACAAGCACAATGAAAAGACCTTATGTTTTACATACAGATAGACATATTCATACTCATTTCTGTAGGCATAGACACAGACTAACCATCTCATTACTTCTCAGAATCCTGAATACAGGCCTGTACATCTGTCTGGGAATACTGGTATTTTCACATTTTTTTTACAATCCAATATATGCTAATTCAATTTTTGTGATCATAAGTTAAAATTAAGCAACTATTTACAGCAGAGCTATATGTCAATCAAGTGTTCCTCCCAGACTTCCTCCTCTACCAAACAGTATAGCTGGGAGTAGAGAGGACCCACATGGCTTGACAAAGCTTTTTATATGTGAGCAGGAGTCCACACTTCTCCAAAAACCTTTAAAAAAGCAAGCAAGCTATTACTCATGAGCAATTTTCTCTCACAGAAAAAACGTAATTGATCCAGAGGATCCAAGGTGCGCCAGGCTGACTCTCATGGGACAGATGGTCACGGTGCCTCCAGAGGAAGTAGAATTTGCCAAGCAAGCAATGTTTTCCAGGTCTGTATCTAACAGGCATGTAGTAGAGTGCAACCCACGGGTTTGAGACAAATACACAAATGTGGTCGTTTGGTACAGAAAATCTGAGAAATAACAAGCCTGACCTTTGCTTTGGGGCCATGAAGCGTGCTGGTTTCTGTGTGGCTTGGAATGACAGACCTTTTAACTCCTGAGGAAATGGATTATGGAAATGCAGTTAGTTAGTGTTGGACTTTGGTAAAGCACATGGTTTATAATCTGGGGATTATGAAGATATGTCACCTGGTTTCAAGGAGAGATTCCATAATTCCATGGTGTATTTGTTATCTTTAATGATTCTACCCCACCTTATGACAGGTAGTGGATTTAGAGACAGAGCTGAGGTCTGCTGCCTTTGGGTTTACAAACATTTTCAGGGTGGAGCTTATAAATTTAATTACATCTCCTCATGTCCCAGCTGCTTCCAAGCCATAGTACTGACTGAGCAGTCTCCTTTGAACAGATGCAAGCACAACCCAGATGTGTAGCACACACACAGGGTGTGCCCCCATGCCCTTCAGTGGGTTTCCAGAATTACAGGTGTGAAGAGCCTAAACCTTAGCTGGGGCACACACCTCCCACATGGGCTGCCAGGGATTGTCCTCCAGGTGCACCTTGCCTGGTCAGTCAAAGACTGCTGCGAAACTGGGATGAGCTTGGATCCAAAACAGCCCAGAGATGGTATTCCTTCTGACCTACAGGATGGGACTCTGTCAGGGTGTACCACCAACAGCAAAAATGGGACCATGAACAGATGGAGCCATATTGACACACAAGCCTTCTTTACAAACTTCACAGGAATTAGATTTCCATGTGATCCAGAGTCCACCAGCACCTCAGCAGAGGATGCTCTGCTGTCAGGGTGCAAGAGTCAAAAAGATAAAGTGAGGGCTGCTGGGGCACATCCAGTGCCAGCAGCATCTGATGCCACTTATCAACCCCAGAATCATAGGTGCTCAAAGGGATAACTTAGAAAATTGTAGGAAACGCAGTTTTCCCATTGAAAGGGAAACCAAGAGGTTGCCAAACCAAGCACCTCTGCTGCAGGGTCCTCTGTAGGAGCAGAGGGCAGTGAGCCAACGTTGCTCCCCAGACTTGCACCACTTCCCACCCATGTTCCTGTGAACAGTGACTTGAACTGTGGTACCCCTCTGTGCATCGCTGCTGAGCTTCCCACAGCTACGCTCGCTGGGGCTTGGGGAGCAGACATCTGCACCCTGTCAGGGAGAATCTGTCTGACCTAGCTGTAAGGGAGACCAGAGAAATGAGACAAAAATACAGGATGAGAAGGCTGTCAGAGGTGACAGCTTGCAGAGACAATGCTCTACCTGCTACCCAGTTTTATTAGCCCTCCCTCTGTACCACAAGTGCTACCAAAGATGTATTATTTTCAGGACACTGTTTTCTTTAAACAGATACAATCACAACCCTGACATACATTAAAAGAGTCTTCTCTAACTATTTTTCACTTACTCAGAGACCAAACAACACCTTTAGAGATAGGGTTCTGCAGTGGGGGAAGGTGGTGATTGCTGGCTGCCTGCTGGTGATTGCAGTTCTCCCCAGACTGAGGTGAGGAAGATGACAAACCTTACACCAAGGAAGGGACAAAAAGATGAATGGTGGTGTTCTCATATCTCAGGTTTCACTCTGGCTGAGCACACCAGGCTGAAGAAAAAAGCAGACTATGCATATGCTTTGGCACATCTTCTGATTTTTTTTTGCTTTTCTTTGTCCTTCCAGGCACCCAGTGGTAAGAAAGTGGCCTCGTAGCTATGAGTGGTTCTTCATGAAAATGAACATTGAACACATCTGGCTTCAAAGCTGGTATGGAGAAATTTCTCCCATTGCAGTAGAAGAGTATTTAAAAGCAGTTCCAAATAAAGGATGACTGAATGGGCTTTGAGATAAAAATCTCCTGGGTTTCCTTTCCAATCACTTTTAAAATTTCATGGTAGATGGTTTCTTTACAGTGATATTTTTCTCTTCTCCCAAAAGGCTTCAAAATAGCCCTGTCTCACATGGAGTGGAGTGAAAATAAATCAACACAGACTTTCAAATTATAAAGGAGAGGTGGATATTAGCCCTACCCTGCAATGTACAGACTTGTCATTTCAAGCAGGCAATGCGTCATCCGAAATGCTGTTTTTAAAACGCTTTGTATCTGTTTGTTTTGACTTCTATTGCTGTGCACCCACAGGGAAACTACACTATGTGCTAAATATAATGTTCTGAATTGCAGAAAATGCAGATTGCCTACTCAGAACCCTCTATGCATTGTGGAGGTATTACTGCTGCTTGGTCTCCCTTGATTTGTAAATACTTTAAGAGAAACTTAACAGCTGCAAATTTAGGTGTTTAAGTTTAAAAACAAATTATTTGCTAAAGCTGTCCTCATTTGCTAACTTCTCTGTTCTATGTGTGCTTTTCCCTAATTAGATAATTTGATGTTTCATTTGGAAATTGACTAAAACTTCTCTCATTAGAAGAAAAAATGCAATCAGTTCAAACAACACAGCTCCATATAATTTGTCTCTGACACAAAGCTGGTTAAACACATTAAAGGCCAAAATCAAATCAGCCCCACAAGGATTATCTCAATACAAGTATAAACATTCTCCTAAGAAGAATTTGAGTAAATGTTCTCAGCTAGCCTGCTCCTGTTGAGACAGGAAAAGTATTTTTAACAGCCTGTAGTCCCAATAATTTTTTTTTGCCTCCCTGCTCCAGCCACTGCTTTATTTTTAACTGGCTTGTGCAACTGATTTTTGTAAGCCCTCACTAACTCACTGAGGGGTGGAGCCTGTTCCTTAACTCTGTTTCCTCACCAAGATTTAAAGCGCTTGTTCATGCATTTATTTTATAAAGAAACCTAAAGATGGTAGGTATTTCAGGCCATGAAAAACTGGTTTTCATGGTGGAAAGTGCAAACTTCATTGCAAACACATTATGTATAGGCTTCTCATGTGGTAATACCAAAAGAGTTCAAAGGTATTTTAATCACTGTCAGCTCTTTCTCTAGATGTCCTCCTGGTAAAGTTATTCTGCAGTTCTTAAGGGTATCACAGAAAGAAAACTCCCATGGCTAACCAGGCAAGTCACCACACAGTTTGAAAATTATATGTCTGCTCTCCCTGTTACATTAAGAAGGAGACACATTGAGATGGGTTTTATGTGCCTGTGGGGAAGGTCTTCCAGCATCCCTGCGAGTGCTCTTGAGCTCTGGTCATCAGCCTGCACCACATCTGGGCTGGGGAGGAGCCTGAGTGCCTCAGTGAGTGCCCTGAACTTGTACAGGTTAATCCCTGGGCAGAGCTCAGAGGCAGCTGCATGAGCTGTGATCAGCTGGAAGCCAATTAAGTGTAGCTGAGCTTATTTTGGCTCAGGCAAGGAGGGAGAGAGAGAGTCATTCCCAGAACAGCTGGGCACCATGCTGGTTTAACTACTAAGGGGCCCCAGGGTGCCCAACTTAGCCCTAGGGTGAGTACCAGCCCCCAGGCATCACTACTATTCCTGAAATTCTGTAAGAAGCCAAGGCAAATGAGGGGGGAAACTGTGTTTAGACACTCACTAAGCTTTTTTTATTCTTGTCTCATTGCCAGAGACTTTGTTAGCCGTGCAGATCTTTTGCAGAGGTAATTACACAAAAGCAGGAAGTGTCCTGCCTGAATCTATTTCCTTTTTTTTTTTTTTCTTGGCAGATGAGCTGCATTTTCACATTTGAGTTTGCCCCTGAATCTTGCATTGTGTAATACTGAAGCAAGATGGCCCATTTTATACAGACTTAGAGAATACCATCAAGTGAAATCCTCCTCGATTGCTATAATTTTGCCATGAGGATCTTTGTCCGCTATGGATTTGATGACTTTGTCCATTAGGATTAATGGAATTTTAAAACTGAGTTCAACAGGAATAATACCAGTCCAAGAGGACACAGTCTCAAGCTGCGCCAAGGGAGATACAGGTTAGACCTAAGGAGGAAGTTTTTCACAGAAAGAGTGGTCAAACACTGGAATCATCTGCCCAGGGAGGTGGTAGAGTCACCATCCCTGGATGTGTTTAAAAGGAGACTAGATGTGGCACTTAGTGCCATGACCTAGTTGAGGTATAAGATAGGATGGGTTGGACTCGATGATCTTGAAGGTCTCTTCCAACCTAGAAATTCTGTGATTCTGTGATTCTAAGAGAATTTCACAGGTGTGAAATTCTGTGAAAACATAATTACATATTTCCTTATCCCAGTTCACTACGGTTCCCAGAGAAACATGAAACCCCCATTCTGCCCCCCACTCCTAAATACACACAGATTAAGCAAATCTAGAATACAATCTCAATGTTTAAATGAGGTGAAGAAGAGAGGAAGAATTTTAGAAGTGCTACTGTCACTATACTCCCAATTTCATTCACATCCCCTGGCAACAGTGACATGGTCCTATGTCCTATCCGTTGCCTTATTAACAAGCCTTGAAGCAGTAAGGGGTTGTGTCAAGAAGGTTCAGAAGAGCTTTAATGGTTTAAGAAGTCAGCGTGCACTAAGAAAGGTTTTGAATTTACAACACACTACTTGTTATAGGCTGCCTCCCTGCACACACAGATTAATTGGAGTCGCTTCTGTATTGTAAAATGACACATTCATCAAAATGATTTCCTGTATGGACCTGCTGTGAGGCTCTTCACACAACCTTAAAAAATGAAATGCTGGGGACATGTAAAGTGACAAAAGGGGCTTCATGAAGAAATGCTGTCTTACATCACCTGTTCTCATTTCATGCTTCCTTCACCCAAGGAATAACTACCATATGAGTCCTTGAAAGTTTGTAGAAATTCATCAAAAATATGACCTGCAGATTTTGAGTGGAATTTTCCAGACCAAAAAAAAAAAAAAAAGGAGGTGACAGTAGTTTGCTTATTTGGGCTTTATATTATTTATAGGCTAGTTCTAATTTTTCTTCAAACAGACAAATGTCTCAAGTAATATTGGTCATCACATGGTAAGTGATGTTTATTGAAGTGTTGAACCCAGAGTTTTGTCTGTAATTCTACAATAAAACCATACTTCCTTAAGACTGTAAAGTCTGATCTTGCTTCAGTTCAAGTCAATATCAAAAATCCCATTTATTTATTGAGCTTTAATTACTGGATTAAACAAGCATTTTCATTAGTCTTGATGAGGTCTTATGTATTTATTAAGCATTTCAACTAGCTGATGTGTAATTTCCATGTGTTCTGTATTTGCCTTATTTCTGTAGCTTCCCAAAAAAAGTTTGTGCAACATGGTTAAAATTTTACCTGTGATATTGGGATATTTAAAAGATGTATTTAGTCATTTCTGTATACCTGAAAAAAGAAAAATGAAGTTGAAAAGTTGGATTCTCACTTCTTGCTAATTTGGACAAAAGAAATGCAGGTACAGGATTTAGGCACAGCTATTTTGAACTGCTGTGCTTGTTTAACCAAAGAATGTTTCTGATGAAATTTTCATCACTTCAGTGGTTGAAATGCAACCTATCTCATTTCTGGATGTGTATTGCAATTTGCAATGTACTTTGATTTCTAAAAATATTGAAAGTCGTTAACAAAATGGCCATGAAGAAGAAATGTAAATAAAGTAAATTTCAAAAGAGAAACTGTATAAGGATATTCTTCAGTATAGCATTTGCCAGAGTAACCCACATTGTGCTAACAATCATTACAATTTCTGTCTGATCTGAACATCTGTTTTGGTTTTTTCTCCCTGAGTTTTCCTGGACCAAATTAATTTCTCTCAAAATATTTGTGGGAATTGAGGCTCCAATTTGCCTTTTCTCTGGGGAGAAAAGTCTAGCCAAACACCTTTTATCATTCCTTCATCTTCTCATTTATTGTGTACTTTGCTTTCACTGTAGCAGTTAAATGTCACTCTTAAAGTTCACTCTTCTTTTCTGCACGTAGGAACTGAGCACTCATCTCTTGGGTGTGCATTAATAGTGTTTTGGAAGTTTCCTCAGTGCTATTTCTTCCCTTGCCAGCCCTGCTCTTACAAGTTCTTGTTACAGTTTGTTCCCTTCTCTCCACTTTCCTCTGATGTGTTTTCTTAAACCAAGTCTGACAATTTACCTTCTCATCTTGTTTTTCCACACCATCTCCTTTCAACAAAATTCAAGCTCTCATACTAAAATTCCCACTTCATATCCAATAAAGATTAGAATAGAATAGAATAGAATAGAATAGAATAGAATAGAATAGAATAGAATAGAATAGAATAGAATAGAATAACAGCCTATGTTAGGATCAAATAACAGCCTGTGTTTCCTATTTACACTTCAAATCTTTCTCTTGCCACTGGTTGGACTGCATTTACAGGAAGAACTGTGACCATAGCTCCCTAACCTGCACAAATCTCAGTCAACACCAGCTTCTTATTTCCAGTAATCTGTATTTTTAAAAGAACACTTCCTGCAGCTGGTTTCTTCGTTTTTACTTACTGTTTTTACATTTATCCCATTTCTGGATTAATGTCTATTCTGGCTACACCAAGTGTCTTTAATTTATTTACAAAAAACCAAACAAAAAAAGCCAAACCAAACCAAACAAAAACAAACAAACCCCCCCCCCCCCAAAAAAAAAAAAAAAACAAAAAAAACCCCAAACAAATAAAAAAAAAACCAAAAAACTCCAAACCAAAAACCCAAAAAAACAGCCAAATCCCAATTTGAACATTTTTGGAATCACTGAAGTACTTTCATTTTTAATCTTCTTTTTGCTAAATACTGAATTTGCACTTTTTCCAAATTGTGTTGCTTGTCATCCCTCAATAAAGTTCACCTTTTACCTGTCTTCTCTCTGCCACCACCTCCACATGCCCTCTCCCATCTAACATTTTGCTAGATGCTCCTGTTTCCTTCTTTTTTTTTCTCTTTTTTTCATTAACTCTAATTTTTCTATGTTCTTCCCTCAGCTTCCAAGTTCTCCACAGCCCCTTCCACATTACTTTGTCTGCTCAGTCTTGTCTGTTCTCTTGATTTTGCTACTTCAATCTTCTTGTCACTATGCTCAGTGCCTTTGGAGAGGATCTTAACACTGACAAGTCTTGTTTTGGGAGAATGCTAGAGAGTAGCTTCAAGGAATACTTTGAGTTTGAAGGTATTTGTTTGTTTGTTGGTTGACACACTGCCTCTGGAACAGAAATGGGAACATATTGGCCTTGATGCTGACACAGAATAGGGCAGTTCATCAAGCTCATGGCTTTTTCCAATGATATCTTCTGCACAAACTATTCCAGGCTCCATTAGGCCTGTGTCAGCACTCGTAACATATAATCATGATCAGGAAGGACATCAACAAAGTTTGCAATGTTGTTCGACAACATAGGTAACAGTACAGGAACACACAACTCTTGTTGTCTTCTGAAGGAAAACAACCATTCAAAAAAGGCTGGTAGCTGGTGGAAACAAGTGATTCATTTTAAAAGCTGGGAAAAGATACAGATATGTTCCATGAAAAAAACAGGGAAGACTCTGTGTTTATTCAAGAAGAGGTGCATGTCAAATACTTCTATTTAATGGAAAACAAGTCCGTAGAATGATCATGTCTATTGGGTACCGTAATACCTTAATTGTACTTATATACTTTTCCCCCAGACACGGCACAGACCCTGTCACGGTTTTTCATTGCTCTGGAATGAGCTCTCCTCAGCACAACAGCACAGGCACCGCGTGTATCCGACCGCGCGGAGCTCCGTTCCCTTTCCCCTGCACGTCTGTGCACCGCTGTGCTCTTTGCTGGCTTCCGGCCGCCTCTTGCTCCCCTGTGTCCTTGCTCCTGGTGCTCCAGCCTCCCTCCACCCCTCGGGAAGCCCTGCTGCACCCTCGAACGAGGGCGAGGTGTGCCCGCAGGGTGCGGTGGTGACTCATTTACCCTGGCAGGCGTGTGTCACTGCCGGGGCCGGTGTAAGGGACTCGGGACCGGCCCCCTTGGCAGGGTCCGAGGCCGAGCAGCCCCCGAGGGTTCGGTGGCCGGGGAAGGCGGGTGCCAGGCACGGGAAGCCGGGTGCTCCATGCAGGAGGCGCTTCAGGTTGATCCCCGTGGGCACCAGCTGCGTGCGGGAGGCCGGGGCTGAGCTCTGCTCCTTGAACAGCCCCGGCAGACCGGGGGCAATGGCATCCTGGTGCGTATTGCAAATGGAGCGGCCAGCAGGGAAGTAATTCTGCTCCTGTACTCAGCACTGGCGAGGCCACACCTCGAGTGCTGTGTCCAGTTCTGGGCCCCTCAGTTCAAGGATATGGAGGTGCTGGAATTGGTCCAGAGAAGGGCAGTGGAGCTGGTGAAAGGACCGGAGCACAGGTCCTGTGAGACCCAGCCGAGGGAGCGGGGTTTGTTTCGAGTGGAGCTGGTGAAAGGACCGGAGCACAGGTCCTGTGAGACCCAGCCGAGGGAGCGGGGTTTGTTTAGCCTGGAGAAAAGGACGCTCAGGGAGACCTTGCCATTCTACAGCCACATGAAAGGAGGTTGTAGCCAGATGGGGATCGGCCTCTTCTCCCAGGCAACCAGCGACAGTACAGGAAGACACAGTCTCAAGCTGCGCCAGGGTGGGTTCTGGAGGAATTTCTTGACGGAAAGGGTGTAAGACATTGAAGTGAGCTGCTCAGGAAAGAGGTGGAGTCACCTGGTCTAGGAGTGTTTAAGGAAAGACCAGACGTGGGACTGAGTGCCACGGTCCGGCTGACATGGTGGTGCTCGATCATAGGTTCAATTCGATGACCTCAGAGGTCTTTTCCAAGCTAATCGATTTTCAGACCCTGCAGCTGACGCCGGGGCGCCCTCAAGCCCCGCGTCGCCATTGGCCCCGCCCGCCTACCTTGCGTGCCGCCCCCCCTCTCCCGGCATGCCGCGGGGCGGGGCGGCCCGGCCCGGCCCCCTGCTCGCCCTCAGCCGCGGCGGGCGGGCT